ATTTTGAAGAACGCTAAGGGTCATTACATTACTAGAATTACAGTAATTGTTTTCAGAAATTATAGCCACGCCCATTCAATAAAAGGCGTGGCAAGACCAAATTTTTTGAAGTTAATAAAGGAATTACATTCGAAGATAGAAGAAAAATTTGACAGAGTGTAAAGAACATCATTACACATTGAAAATCCTCATATATGGCCGTAATAATTCAATGTGTGATCATTGATAGACCGGTTGTAACGTCAGACCATGAAGTACCGACATGCCGTTAAAGATAGGAATGGATCCAATTATTTGCATGGGCGCAATCTGCGCATGCGCAGTACTGACTAAATTGTACTTCAATTTATAATGTGCATAACTCAAACAAAAATGTAAAAAAAACAGTTCAAACATGAATAAATGCTTGTTTAGCCACACATTTGATTTCAGGTTACTCTGTTGAGTCTACAAGGAATAAGCAATATTAATAATAAATGTAAAAGTACATGTACTTTGCATTAATGTTTACAAAGAACTTTGTAGCCTATTTTCATCTCTAAAAATAATTTGACAGGAATGTCATTCTACAGATAACGAAAACAAATTTTATACAGCAATAATAGTTTTTACTGACCTGGAAATATACTGGTGTCACATTAAGTAGTGCCAAGGGAAATAAAGAGTTGATAATATATCTAGTCTTGGGGAAATGTCATCTGTTTAACAGAGATAAGAAGTTAAAAATAAACCTTTCATTGCAAATGCCATACACATGGAGCTAGATATTTCTGTGGCCAAAAGTTCTGCTAATTATGCAGATTTCAAAAACTGTGAAAATTTAATCCTTTAAAATCAGTACACATTGAAAGGCATGGTGATTTTGCTAAAATAAAATCTGCAAAATTCACAGAAATTTTGGGCTACAGTAATTTCTAGCTACAATTAAAGAAATTTCTAGGTACAATTCTAAACATTAGTAGCATAATAAAATAAATCATTTCATGAATAATTATTCTATTAAGTACCAACATCTCCAAATATAGCATCCAGAGTTTCGTGCACCACCATGAACAATACTGACAGCTTTTTGTGACATTCTAATTATCATAAAAATAGCATACATGTAAATTCAAAACAACAAAACTAACAGCTTTAATAGTCAGAAGTACTGTAAAAGTGGAATGTCATTGCTTGCATTATTTAATGCATGAATAAAAAATTTATGAATTTAAAAACTATACTGACTTAAAAACTAATTATAGACCACTGGAAGTGAGAATTGGAAATGAATTTTATTAATTTTATATGCGGTATCTGCCCACATGTCATAATTGGCTGCCATTGTCGTTGGCAAGTTTGTTAAGGAAGTCGGCAATGAATGCAAGAAGAAAATGCCTTACTTACCTGCTGTAGCTCTATCAAAAGCTAAAATGTGCTTGTTATAAGAAAAAAGATCTGTATGCTCAAAAAGATGTGGTTCAATTTGCCCCAGAGTTCTCAATACAGGTTTGTTTTCATGCCAGCCCGTTTGTTCTCCATTAAAAGTTGTCAACCAAAATGGCAGCTGAATTTATTTTATCCTAAACCACACCTTACAACCGTAAAAATTTCTAATAATCTTCCTATGTAATCAATTTTTACTGCTAGTGGTCTATAATTGTACACAGCTTACAGCTCAACCTTGTACCTACTTGAGCTCCTAGTCTCCTACTACACATGTAAGC